TTCTATACAATATAAAACCCGGATTGTTAATGTACTGAAAAATCCTCAACAATTCTGTACTAGTCCGAATAACTACGACGATAGTGATATGCTCTTTTATTTCATTTTAACTGAATTATTCTGGGAAGACTTCTTGTTACCTTTATAAGATAGACATACCACGACATACCAAAATTTCACTATTTTAGACAATGCAAAGCTTGTTCTATTGGATTATTACAATATGCTTTTTTAGAGAAAAAAGGCGGTGCAAGCGGATAAAGCGAAAGTTTAAAGCTACTTACGATTGTTTGGTACTTGATGAGGCTTTAGTGTTTTTTTCTTTCGATGCAGTTGATTTCTCGGCAATGGGCAGTGGTGATTCTGCACGTTTTCGTCTAATTTTATAGTCGTCACGTAAGGATAACTGGAGATTTTCCATTTTAGTAAGAATGGATTGAAGACCTTTTGGGGATTGAAGTAATTCCGGCTTTATTTGACCTGTTACAGGCCATAGAATATGTTCAATGAGTGATTGTATATTGTTGATCAATTTATCTATTGTTGTTTGATGCAGTTCTGCATCTAAAGCTATTTGATTCACTTTGACATCGATCTTTTCCAATTTTTCTTCCACTCTTCAGTTACTTTCACGCATTGCCACTAGATTCTCATTTTTGACAGCAAGTACTTATGTTACATTCGATGTATCGTTAGTTCTTGTTTCTGTTTGTGTATGATTCCATATAAATTGCTGTTGCTTTTGAGATTTACCATGTTCGTTCAAGGGTGGAAATTCTTGATTTTTTGCATTAAACATTTGTTGTAATGGGTAGATGTTTCACTGTAAGTTACCAGATTCTACAGCTTTTGTAACATTTTCTTTTAAATCAGCACGATATTGTCGAATGACATGACATGGACTACACAATGAATGGTGTTCACCATCACATTTTGCTACATTCGTGCATTTGTGGTCCTCTTTTCTTGTTCTGTTTTCTAGGCAAACTCGACATCGTTGTATATTTGTTTTACATTGATCACGTACATGGCTTATTCTCCAACATTTAGTACAATAGTTCATACAATTTCCAGATAGAAACGGGGTAATTGATAGCCAGTGATTGCAAATTGCATTACGACCAAGCTCAACAGCACTGTTATATTCTTTTAAGTCTGTTACTATAAATCGAAAGTCATTAGATCTTCGTTCATATGCATAATGGATTTGTTTAATATTATCTGCTGATGTAATAGTGCGATTGATTTCTTCTTTAACTGTTTCAATTTCTAATTCGCGAGGAACATATCGAACAACTAAGGCAAAACAATCAGTAATATAACTTGGCTTAGTAATTTTGACTGGTATATTTTTAACTGACATTGGCCATTTTTCTGTCGTTACTAACGCTGTATAATCTTTCTTATTATTCACTCCCAGTTTTAATCATTTACCCGACCATCCGACTAATGAAAACTGTTGACTAATTACATTGTGTTCTTTGAAATGTTTTTCAATAATACTTCTAGCTTCAAATGCTGATGGAAGCTTATTGAAAGTTGTTGATTGTTCAAATTCGATGAAAAAGCATGGTAGATTCGAAATCACAGCTCGTTTCAACTGATAAAAAGACAGGGGTTTTCGAATATGACGACCTGTTGTCGTTGCCACTAGTGTTTGTATGGAATTCTGTTGACCTGTTTTATGCTGTTTTGGTGCGATACTGATAGATCCATTACTATCGTTGAGCGGTCGGTCTACCCCGTTTTGGGATTGATGATTTTTACTGCGTATCTACTTTAAAATTTAACAGCGATGGAATCTGATGTTGATCTTGATTCATACAACTATTAAATATTGGTGGAAAGGATTGTTGTAAACTACGAGTACGGGTAAATTCCAGAAATTGATAGAAGTCATTTAACATATGTGGATTCTGTGCTAATGAACGAAGAAGATCATTTTTCTGTTGTATGTTATATTGATCGTAATCTGTTGTGGCTTGAGTATAGTGTTGTTGTTGTGGTGGTTCACTAGATGTATACTGCTCGCTCATATCTGTTTCGTTTGAGTTTAATTGAGTTGTACGAACATGATTTATATACATTAGGTTTTTTTCTGCTAATTGAGAGTTAGTTGATGACATAAAGTTGCTTCTCCGTTAACACGAGAGAGCACACCAGATGCAAAGAAAGAACTATGCGAGAGAGCGAGCAGAAATGCGACGGTTCTCTATGAAAGCGAAGGAAGAAGTGAGCCAGAAGCATGAATATTTTCAAATATACATGTCTTATGAAGATTATATTCCAAAACATTGATATTTTGTACAGAGCCTAGTCTATTTGAGGTCTTCATACGGATAAAGTTTCAGGTCAAAACTCAACAATACGGTTTTGCTGGACATCATGTATATTACGAGGAAAATTGTTTGAAAATCCGATATCTCGGAAACAAAGGCACGAGGGAATGAATCCTTTTCAGGTTTTTCATACCTCATGGAGGTGCACTTGTAATCAAAAGATGGAGCCAAAACGACTTAAACATCTACATATGTTCCCTCGTTAATGCAGCATTTGTGGCCGCTATCAGATACCCATGCACGTCTCTTAGGTTTTTGAATAATACATCAAAAGATGCAGAATTTCACGCGCTATCAGAACTCATAATTTTTTTTTTGTATTAACTTATGCTTACAGTTGAAATAATTTTGAAAAACTAAATAGATAAAGAACAGAAACTATAAATTGAGACAACTGACGCTGAGAGTATTTTTACTGTACTTGAAATTTTTTTAGTGAACAAGTATAATTAACCCTTTACCCCCCCTTGGTCACTGGAGTGACCATTTGTAGATCAATGGTAAAAATTTAAGAAAGGATGGAATTTAAAAACTTTGGGGAGATGTCTTGTAGTGAACTCCATAAGCTATCGATTGGTAAAAAAAAGTATTTTGTTTCGTTGGTTTGTCTCCGAAAAAGATGAATTACAAAATCGATGACTTTTGAAAAATCACAAAAATTGGATTTTTTCGAAAAATATTTTTCCAGCAACAGGCAAGATACATCTTGATAACCTATTGTGTGGTATATAATGACAATAATGTCTACTATCAATATCAATGCCTTTCGAAAGTGTCAGAAAAGCCAGGTAGATAAGAGATGGAATGACACAGAATGGTCACTGGAGTGTCCATTGGGGGGGAATGACTTGAAAAAGTCCTATTTTGGGCTGTTCGTAAATTTGATATAGTTCGACCAAAAACATCGTAGAGAGCTCAGGGACATCTTATTTTGTAGAGAATTGTTTGCTCTATCATTCTACGTAGTTTGAACAAAATTATATTCACAGGTTCTAGGTGCTGGAAAACTAGGGTTTTGGTTTTCTAGAAAACTCTATTATGGGGAATCTAGTGATGATTTTTAGTATCTCAAATCCTTGTTGAAAACAATTTTTCCTACTCAGGTCACCATTTGAATTGTTTTTAGCGTTTATGGCTGCGAAAAAAATCGAAAATACACCCAGTTGCTCAAGTTTTGTGAACACTGTAGTTTTTCACCACCTAGAACCTACGAATAAAATTTTGTTTGAACTACGTAGAATGATAGAGCAAACAATTCTCTATAAAATGAAATATACTCGAGCTCTCTACGATGTTTTTTGGTCGAACTATATTAAATTTACGAAAAGCCCAAAACAGGACTTTTTCAAGTCATTCCCCTCCGATGGTCACTGGAGTGACCAAACTACTCTGCATAAACGAGCGTGCGCCTGATCGATCTGTCCATACTACTGCCATATTGGAGACACCAGTACTCTATTCCAGTAGTTATTTGATCAGTGGATCCTCTGGAACTGTTGTGGTGGGTAAAGGGGTAAGTACCATGTCAACGGCCAAGTGTTTTAAAGAAGAATATTCCACGGTGTAAGGCATGTAAGACAATGAATAGTAGAAGTAAAAAGTATATGCGCTGTAGGGCTGGCACTTTTACTTATACTTTTTTTACTTTGCCGGGCAAAGTAAGTAAAAATTTTTGAAAAACGAAAATAAAACTTTCGTGTTTATTTTTTACTATATATTAAAGTAGAGTAACCAATTGTCCGGGGGGAGCTCGGGCTTTTTTTGTTTAGCAGTGAACATCTATGGCTAGGAGCTACCTGAGCCCGATTTTGGATTTCTCATTTACTGAGTTCTGGTGTTTAATAAAACTTTAAAATCCGAAAAATCCTTGACAGGTTTCTTAGAAATCCCCATTTCAATAAAAAATGGAAACACAATTTAAAAATCGGACTCTGTCAAGGGCGATGACGATAATAATTTATAAAAGTAATTAATAGTAATAACAGTAGGGGCGATGTTGATTGTACAAATCGAAGTTGTACGCTGAAATTTCGTTAAGCTTTAATTTTCTTTTTATCTTTCGATTCGCTGCTTCCTAAACTTCTGAGTTGTTCCACATTCTTTTCGATTTCTCAACGCCACTTAAGTAAAAATGATATTTTGACTCTAGTTGTTGTTACTAGAGAAATAAATAATGCTTACTTTGGTGTGCCAGTTTATTTAGCTTATTTGAAAGAAATTTCAAGAATTAAATTACTGTATTCTCTCTAACTAGTATTATCATTACTACTATATTATTCTATTTTAAAAAAAGAAAATTCTTCGATCTCTTTATTATCATTACTGTGCTTCATTCATTTCAACTAAATTAAAGTAGAGAAGAAGAACAAGAACAGAAGAAGAGCAAAAGAAAAGAACGAAAAAAAGAAAATAAGAGAGCAGAAAATGGTAGCAGCTGCAGAAGAACATTATGATCAATTGATTGACAATGACGTTAAAAAGGTGGTGATGTTAGGACAGTTAGAATGGATCGGTAATGTGGGCGGTGGCGGTAGCTGGTCTCGAAGAGTGTTGCTTAGGCATGGCCCGCTTACCCAGAGCGGAACCAAGATTGTTTTTAAGAGAGAAGCTTCTTTAAATTTTCGAACCCTGTATAGCTTCCCATCAATAACTCTCATTACATATAATGCATTTGATGAACTAACTCATTTTATGAAATAATTGATTTATATAGACACCTTCAGCTGATACTTTTGGAAAGGATCAAATTGAAAGCACCCGTTTTTTGTTGCTGCACGATCTGATCTTTGTCAACTAGCAGCTTTTTTTGGTTAGACTGAGTTTGCGAGCAGGAGGAAGAGTTTCACGCTTAGACCAACATGGATCTGCGCCGACAATCATTTTAGAGTAAGTCATAAAGTGTACAATTGTCTTGTTCTATTCTATCCGTACACTTATATAAAACTAATAAGTTGTCACGTTATATTTTATTCATTTCTCACGCCTTGTTCTTTCTTTCAACATAATAGTAAAGAATCGAATTATTGCAGCGTATATTATTTGTTGCATATTGGTAGCTTACAAACGCAGCAGCAGTAAGTTTTCTCGCTTTCTAACGTGTGCTGCACATAAAGTAAAAAAATGCCGTTATCATCATCACCGATACATCACTTAATCAAAAATAAAAAAAATCCATCTATAGCAGTTCTAACTGATGTTTGTTTACTATTCGGTGCAATTGGTATAATTTTTGGTTTAGTTGAATTATAAAAAATAAAAACATCTATTGTTGCACGATGTCCACAAAGCGCAAATGGAATCGTTGCAGTGGCTTTTCATCGAGACAGGCAACAGTATTATTTCTAGGCAGTGTTATGGCACATATTAAAGACGTGCCATAAGAGACAATATTTAAATCCTCACGATCTATTTAAATCATTTTTCAATTTGAATTCATATATCAATTTGATTATTCAATCGGTTTCTTACTACGCAATCGATTTATCAAAAGTTAGAAAAACAACATTTGATTATTATTGTCAAACAATTATTCCTAATATTCGTAATGTATTATCTCTTACATTATCCAATGAACCGCAAACGTGTCGTGAAATTGATTTATTTATAAACAATGTACATATTGAAAAATTCTCACATACTTGTATTTCATTATCATTGATTGAATCAACAAATGATCAATTAGATGATATTCTCTCAAAATTAACAAATGTGACAAAATTTAAACTGCAATGGTATCAGTCCGATAAAACGCCAAAAAGTATGAGTCATTATCTTACATTACAATATTTACAATATTTCACACTGGATTGTGTTGCACTTTCAATTAGCGATTTAGTTTTGATTTTTCTCTCATTACCGAAACTTGTTTATCTGAATGTGATGAAAATACGTTGTTTTACAGAAGAAGGGAAACCAGAAACATTATTGTTTAATGATGATTCTATATTAACCTTAGCTCCAACTTTATCAATTCTCAAAATTCGATTCATCTCTACTGTACAGCTAGAAACGCTTAGGCTTTTATTTCAACGTTTACCTCAATTGCGACAATTATCGTTGCACATGGAAATACACGACCAGCACCCACCCATAGACGGCTATCAGTGGAAAGAGATATTCACTTATTTATCAAATTTAAAACACTTAGGCTTTTATATGACTAGTTGGACAACTGATTATTCCTATTTCGAATCGTTAGTCACATCATTTAATATTGATTTTTATTTGGAACGTAAATGGTATTTTACATTTGATTATTCAGAAGAAAAACAATTATTGCAAATGTACAAAATCCCACTAAAAATATATAAGTATGACGAATTATTGTGTTCAATGCACATTAACACAACAAATTCTAATAGTGTAAAGTCAGTCTGTACAACTGTCAAACATTTGTCAATTCTTCATTCATCTCATTCTTACCCGACTACAGTTAGAAGAACGTACCCAAATGTGAAATCACTGACACTGAAAACCAATGTTTCATTATTAACTTATTTAAATCAAATTATTGTTTATTCAAATTTAACACATTTGGACATTCGTCATGAACAATATTCAACAGTATTCTTCTTAAATTTATTTAGAAAAGCATCAAATATTACATCTTTAACTCTAACAAATACAACTGATAGTCAGTTAAATGAACTACTTAACAATAAACCATTGTGTGACAAATATTTATGTAAAATGATCAAAAATTTAGAATTAACTGGTGGCATTACACGAGATAATGTTGAACGATTTTCAAATGTTTTCAAAATTCTAGAACGACTACAGATTAAGCATTTATATTATGAACCAATTATTGTTACAACATTACTAGAAAACATGAAACAGTTAACAAATTTAACAATCAATAACAAGGATCGTAGAATGTTTTTTGATCTTAGAAATTGGCTCGCACAGAATAAAAGAATTATAACAAATTATGTGCTCGAGTCAAGATATAAGACTGACAATATATGGATTAGACGATGTGAAGTTATGGATATTCGATTAAGAGATAAGGATTCTTCATCCCTTATTTCTTCATCAGGGATATCAGATCCAAAACATGAAAATCAGAAAATAAAAATTCAGAATCCGAAAATTTCACAAAAAAGTAATTTAAAAGCAGAAAATTGGAACACCTTAGAAAAAAACAGAGCAGAAACAAGGCAGAAAAAAAAGAAAATCAGAAAAAAGAATTTAAGAAAAAAAAGGCAAAATCAGAAGATCTGTTCCTCATCTCCCAGTTTTGTCTATGAGGAAACTAGGATCCCCTCCCAAAAGAAAAGGAATTTGCCTTTTCGACGTTTGTTTCGTGTTGTAAGTGTTTTATCTGTGTTGATCATCCTATGGATTAATAATCAATCCTTCGAAGATTACCGTTAGAAACGTTTCTATTTGATCAATCTTCATAGAGTGCATCACTCAGATGCGCTTGTATTTTGTTGTCAACTGCTTACTGTAAAAACACTTTGATATTTCAAGACAATAAAACGTTGAATCCTATTATCATCACTTCAACTACTTGAACAAGAAGTAATGGTGTCCGTATCGTACTTTAAATTAAATTCACATCTACTCATTTTCCTTGTAAGAATTGTTTTTCCATCATCATCTAAGTCAAAGGTAAGATGTCGATAAGGCACACTTGTAGTTAAAAACAGATTTTAATGATAAAATCGTACATCGTTCGACTCAATTTCCGACTCTGATTCCGAATATGATATTTTCATTGCTTGAAAGTTGCATTCTTATGAACAAAATTGCGAATTGTTGTTTTGAAGCTTATTTAATGGCGCATCTAACCATGTGTGAATTGAGGCTCTACGATCTTCCACAGAAAACCACATAGGTTTGAGCAGTTTGCATGTACGCCCTCACCTCTCTCAGTTTTTTCGGGGTTCCCCAAAAATTTAGTTTTCGGTCTGAAACTTTGAAAAGCACATGGCTGGATTCAGTTTTCAATGCTGAATCTGAATATTTCAACCACAAAGCTCCACGACATTTTAAGGCGAAACTATACAGCTTTTTCTAAAAACGGGTGTTTTTCCGGTTTTCGGGTCATTTCAAGTTTTCTCGATTTTTCGGCTGGAAAAAAGTCTCCCTAAAAGCTGGGGACCACATATTTGTGATCGCTGTTGGATTCTCTATCGAATGGTGTATAAATCAGTGAAATCTATTTTTAACGGCAAGTGTGCCTTATTGGCATCTTACTTATAACCATTTGTTATATGTTAATTTATCCAGTTTTTAAATAGAGGGTACCCTTATAAAATCTCATGCAGTCGGGCAAATCTTATCTGACAGACTCATCGGTTTTTATCAGAGATACATCGGATACTCTGTGAGAGATGTTTTATTCTTTCTTGAAAATATCGTTTCCTTCCCAACTTCTAGCACAAAATACTGGAAAACCTGTAAAATCTCAAGTTTTACAATTTTAAAAGCCCTTTAGATTGGAAACGAAAGGCTTTCGAAAAAATGATAATAGATTAGATGAGAGAGTGTAGACTGACGGACCGGAAATTGTTGAGTTTACTCTAGCGTAAAAAAGGCACATGAGTGGAGTCCTTGTTGAAGAAGTCGTTTAACTCAAGTTTATATAAATACATATGCCCAATTAGAGTCTAACTATTATATAGTTACGCGTAGATGTAGATCAATATCACTCTGTTTTCTTTTTCTTTTTCTGACTTTGCTGAATGAAAAAAACATCGGATACATTTCTGTGTACAGAATAGAACAAATTTTCATTTTTTTATTCTTCGCTACACAATCTAACGCATCAGCTGAACTGTATTCTTCCTGTTTATAAATATAAGTTACACATAGACATATATTTATATATTCGTTTTCAAATAAAATAATCTAATAGATATAAGAACGTTTACGTTTTAATGAACGAAATGAAAAAGAATAAATTTTCTATTTTAGCGTGAATTTAGTTTTCTATGCTTTTTTCTCTCATTGTGAATTTAATACATACATAATCCATCAACTTGATCAATTAGTCGGGTGGCCCTCGTTAGCCCCACGCGAAAATAACATTCAAACACATCAAAATGTTCGTCAAACGCTACTCTATGTATTCTAAAGTCGCAAAATCTCGCATATTTTGCAAGGACGTTTTATGAATTTTCCAAAATCCCAAAGGGTTTTCGCTTATTTCACATTTTTCTCTCTCACCAAAGCACTTTTTCGTACAAATAATGCCATATTCGGAATCAACGTGAAAAACTACGTCGAATGATACATAGCCTTTTAATTTTTCTGCAGAAATATTTTCAGTCAAACTGAATTATACACTTGAAAGCAGCAAATTTTGCTTAGGAAGTTGGATATTTATTTTAGCAATAGTACGCAAGTGTATAAACACATTTTTTATAGGTTTTCGAATGATCTCTCCAATAGTGAGGTTTTCGAAATGCAAAAATTTTTTTTATGGGTTTTCCAGAGATCCGGTCTCTAGAAAACTCACTGAGTTACTGAAATTACTACTGAGTTCTGAAAATCTCATCATTAGAAAGAGCATATTCGAAAACCAATAGAAAAACATGTTTATAGGCTTTCAAACCAGTTCTACAGCATCTGTTCGCCTACTCTATAGAAAAATGCCCATTGTGCATCTCGAATTGGTTTACTACAAATTGGTGAACTGAAGTCGTTGGAACATCGTTTGTTGGCTATGCCATACCGTTTCTTTTTGAAAAGTGATTTGTCTGGCAAAATAACTGGTCCGAACGGTACTGAAGTAAATGGTCCATTTCACAACGATAACCCTACTGATGTTTCATTAACTTTGGGCGTATTAGTGTCGAAACAGCTACTATCAGCAGGTGAATATATTCAAAACACGAACACTGCTCGTAGTAAGTCCTACGGCAAGTGTTCCGTGAAAGATGATCCGGCTATTATTTCATATTTGAGATCGATTGGTATAGATGTCGATGGTTATCGTCGTTCCCATAAGTCTTTACCAGTTAAGTCTGTGAACGCGATTTTCTTGCCAGATAGCGAAGCTTTTGTGGCTTCTAATGCTGGCGAGTACCTCTTCAGGTAGAAAGTACGGATTTTCAGGCTGTCTATTCTAGATGAACACATATTAGAGAAATAGCTTTGACTGTTGAGTCGAGAAAACCCCAAGTTTTTGTCTCTTTTCTAACGATCGTGACTCACTCTCATGGCAAAATAATAGAGAATTCACAAGCACACCATATACATCAATATGCATTATGATCATCTATTGCATACCGAAACGAATTCCCAGCGAATGCGAATTCATTTTTTAGCAAATCAAATTCTCGGCGAATGTGTATTTTCCAAGCTATGCTCCACCCCGTATAAAACGCTACAAGGATATCCACTACCACGTCCGAACTATTGAACTGTCCCATTTTGACCACGTCACAAAATAACAGAAAATTCGCAATCGATCCTTACCTAACCTAGATGCTGACCTAAACTAGTCAACAATTGTAGAGAATTCGCAAATATCTCATATACACCAACTTATATTATAATGAATTCCCGGCGAATGCGAATTCATTTCTTAGAACATCAAATTCTCGGCGAATGTGTATTGTGCAAGCTATGTTAAGTCGAGAGTATTTAACTGCACTTTTTACTCTAACTCGGAGTGCACAAGTTACACATTATGCTCAGCTATTTTTCAGAAAAAGGTCACGTGAATTTGTAGAAATATTGGACCATCAATACGCACCAAACAAGTAGATTTTTTTTTCAATATAATTGTTTTTGGCAAACAATCGTATTCTAAAAGGCACCCTTCCTTGAATTTTTAACGAATGTAGAATACTAGACTCACACTTTAAGATAGACTTTTTATTCTACGATATGATATGCTATATATGGATTCTGGCTGCAACTGACGCCGCCCAAGAATCTCGAATTTTGCGGTTTAACCGCATTCAAAGCCCGATGTTTTTGTTCATGGTGAGCAGTTTGGCTCATGTATTGAATGTAATAATAGTTATGTTTATGCATCAGCAGCCGATATAACAAGACATAAATTATGGTGCCATTAAAATAAATAATAAGTAATCATACTCAAAACAGACAATAACAAATATTATTTTAATTCAATATACTATTAATTTTTTGTTAATAAAAAACCATTTTGCTTAAAATTCGAGATTCTTAGGCGGCTTCAATTGCAGCCAGATTCCACATATAGCATATTATATCGTAGAATAAAAAGTCTATCTTAAAGTGCGAATCCAGTACTCTACATTCGTTAAAAATTCAAGGAAGGGTGCCTTTTAAATTAAGGCTATTTTAGTTAGCTAACTTGTGCAAAAATCCGAAAAATTTCTAACATGTTTTCGCTTTCATTGAAAAGAAAAAAATCTTCATAATGCGATAGAATAGATTATATGATTTGAACACGGATATATAAATATATATTTATAATGAGGAAGAATACAGTTCAGCTTTAAATTCTATTAACTTTTGTAACTATTAATCAAGAGTGAAAATTTGTTCGATTCTGTGCATAGACCTATGAAAAATAAGTCTACGCGTAGATACAGAAGTAGAGTAGAGACTACGCGTATTCTTGAGTTATCTGGTCGAGAATACGATTGTTTGCCAAAAACAATTATATTGAAAAAAAAATCTACTTTTTTGGTGTGTATTGATGGTCCAATATCTCTACAAATTCAGGTGACCTTTTTCTGAAAAATAGCTGAGCATAATGTGTAACTTGTGCACTCCGAGTTAGGGTAAAAAGGGAAATTAAATACTCTCGACTTAATGCGACATTAATTGATCAAGCTGATGGATTATGTATGTATTAAATTCACAATGAGAGAGAAAAACGTAGAAAACTATATTCACGCTAGAATAGAAAAATTATTCTTTTTCATTTCGTTCATTAAAACGTAAACGTTCTTATATCAATTAGATTATTTTATTTGAAAACGAATATATAAATATATATGTTGCGGACAAACTTTAAATTCGGTCAAATTTTAAATTTGTCCGGACAAAATTCAAATTTAGATTTTGTCCGGTCAAAATTCAAATTCAAAGTTTTGTTGTTTTTTTTGAGATTTTTATTCAAAATTATCGAAGTGGTCCAGAATTTTTTTATTTTTTTATTTTATGTATAAAAATATAGCTTGGTTGTATATTTATAACGTTCGGTATGTACATTTCCACAGTTTAGTTTTCGTGAAGTTTTTACTTATTCTAATTAGTAATGAATATTAAAATTAATCAAAATATTTACATTTCATTATTTTTCTCAACACGTGTAGCTCAGCTCTCAAAGCAAAAAAACAACAATGTACAGTTTAAGCAATGCTCATTTTAATCCCCCATATTCTTGCAGGCCCCTTTTTTACTATGAC